CCTGTCTTCTGAAAGCCATAAACTACTGGTCAAAAGTTTGGAATCATTAAGATTTTTTTATTGTTTTTGGAAGAAGTCTCTTATGCTCACCAAGGCTGCACTTATTTGATCAAAAATATAGTAGAACTGTAATATTGTGAAACATTATTAGAATAAATTTTTTTTTACTGCTTAATAATTTCATGCAAACCATGATATATTTTGTCCAGGTTTCTTTGATGAATAGAAAGTTAAATGAAGAGCATTTATTATAAATAGAAATCTTTTGTAACATAAATGTCACTTTTGATCAGTTTAAAGCATCCTTTATTAATTTTTATATGTCCATAATACATAATGCGTCCACAATGCATTTTTTTTTATTCCTACCACGGTTTCCACAAAATATTAAGCTTCAAAATCTGTTCTCAACATTGATAATAATAATAATAAGAAGAAATGGTTCTTTAGCAGCAAATCAGCATATTAGAATGATTTCTGAAGTATCATGTGACACTGAAGACTGGAGTAATGATACTGAAAATTCAGCTTTGCCATCACAGGAATAAATGACATTTTAAAATATGTTCTAATAGAAAGTTTATTTTAAAAGTTAAAGTTATTTTAAAATATAACAATATTTCACAATATCACCGTTTTTAGTGTATTTTTTGATCAAATAAATGCAGCCTTGGTGAGACTACAAAAACATTGTAGAAAATCTGAATTATTCTAAACTTTTGACCATTAGTGTATAACCGTACAACCAACAAGTTATTGTATATGTCATACTACAATATGTCCAAAAAAAAGTTTGCTCTTTTCCTCCACAGATACTCTCCTCTCCATAACCTTCCTCAGACCTCTCGAGACGGGACCCAGTACCCCGCTATGCTACTGCTGACAGCCGATCACGATGACCGTGTAGTTCCCCTGCACACTTTGAAATATGTGGCCACTCTCCAGCATGGCATGGGCCGCAGCCCCGGGCAAACCCAGCCGCTGCTGGTCAGAGTGGACACACGAAGCGGACATGGAGCCGGGAAACCCACCGCTAAAGCCATCCTGGAGAACACACACATCTTCTCCTTTATAGCTGAGACACTGAAACTCAGCTGGAGAGAATGAGAGAGAGATAGAGAGATGAAGAAGATAAACAGAATTAGCAATTTAAGGAAAAGAGCACAAATTATCAAGTGATTTCTAAAGATTTTTGACTGTCTTTATGCAGGGAGACTGAGAGAGCGAATGGAGATATAAAACATGGAAGGTACTGAACTGATTTTTTGTAGGAACTTGATTTTGACTTTTGTTTCAGCACAACAATGTTCATTAAAGTATGTTTTTTTATAGTAATAAACAATTCCTTTTCTGATTGATCCATTATTTTTTGAATTACAGCTGTCCAATGTTTTGCAATACCTCAAACATGCATTAAGGGGCAGTAAAGGACTGCAACAACCCCTCCATTGCACATACAGGTCAGGGTGGAGAAAAGGGAACACTGCCCCAGGCCGGCCCTCCTTAAGAGAGTTAACCATTGTTTAAACATTTACTATAGTGAAACTGCAGTAATCATGACTGTAGCAACTTAGTTTGTGGCAGAAACCACATTTCACATACCACAAATTAACCATTTTTATAACCAGTTATGATTTTGATTTTCCTTTATGGTTTAAATGCAAAGACCATAATTAAAATTATACTTACTGTAGTAAAACCTATGTTAAACTTGCAGTTACTAGACTTACTACAAATATCACAGATAAACTATATGGTTACTGTCAGTGGTGTATAAAGTACCTGAAAGCCACACTCAAGTAAAAGTACAGATATCTTACCAGAAAATGACTTTGGTAGAAGTTGAAGTCACCGTTTAGAATATTACTTGAGTAAAAGTCTTAAAGTATGTGAGATTTATTGTACTTAAGTACGAAAAGTATTTTTTAAATCTCGGCTGATTCATTCAGGAACAAAGCATTTGACTGTGTTAATGAGTGAATCACTGAATCATTTATTCAACCGATTCGTTCAAAAAGCTGATTCATTCAATAAGTAAACACCGTCCATTGTTCAGAGACGTAAAACAGTGCTGTGATCTTTGTTTGGAACTATTTTCGTTTCGTTTTCAAAATTGAGCATAAACAAGCAATATTACGTATAAAATGTAAGTCACTTATGCTTTACTGAACTTTTATAAAATGATGATTAAATGTGTTCATGCTGATATCTGCAGAAAAACGGTACTAAGAAGGCGTAACTTTTATTCTCGCTGTAGTATTGTTGTTGCCGCCATGTCGTGCAATAATGTACAGTATGTGGAAAATAATGTGTTTTTTTAACTTTAAACCGCATAAACACATTTCATTACACCAAATAATTTTCTTTTTAGCAGCATCATATGACCCCTTTAACTTTTATAAAAAATATCTCTTTGGATTTGAGACTTCAGTCTTTGCAACTTTACAGATCTTCTTAATGCACCAAGAGCTTGTAACACTTCAAAGAGAAAGGAAAAATTGAAATTGCATCATATGACCCCTTTAACATAATTACAGTAGCGATAACAGTGTGTAATTCTAGACTGTTCCATGACATAATTACATACTACGTGCGTGCTATACATAGTGCGCAGTGCTTTTATAACTACTCTGGATACTGTGTACTGTGGTAGTGTTAAGCGTGACCTACATTTAAGGGTTGTTGGGGAGCTGAAAGGAGACATGAAAAGAAATGGAAAATCAAAAGCGGGAGCTACTTGTCTTGAACTGTGGTCACAGAAAGTTTAATCTGGGCTTGGCCAAAACCTGAGAATTAATCAGACGAAGCGTGACGGGCTCTCAACGGAGCAGAGAACTTGAACTGCGGACCCCAGACGTGATGTTTGAAACAAGAGTATCAGGTGAACGCCTATTTATTCGAACCTGAAGATTTGAAATTTCCCCAAAGACTCTGCTGCTCTTTTCTACTGTACAGGTGTGCATAACAGCGGCAGTCCGAGTGTTTAGCTGCTTTTATAACTTTTAAACTGTTCAATAAACAAGTAATG